TGAGAATGGGGTTTGGAACGCTATGAGACACGATAATGAGCGTTGAGAATGATGAAAAAAGAGGAGATCAGTATCAAGACAGGGTTCCGAATGCTATGAAACACAATTTTGAGCGTTAAGAGCATGGCCCCCAGGGGAGCTAAATCGCGCGACTGAACTAAATTTACAGCCCTTCTGAGAAAGCTTGCGGACTCGAGCCCGCCTTTTTTGTTATTTTTTTTTTCTTTCAGCCACTTGTATCCTCCGCCTCTCAGCCTGTATGCCATTGACCATGCAGGCTAATGGCGAGGAACATTTTTTTTATCTTTTTTATCTTTAGGATTTAGGTCTCAAGACCTGCCCCGATCGACTCCTGGTGCAAAATCGAGACGGTTGCCACCCCCTTCATGATGCCAGGTTGCTAACGTGCGGCACAAGGTCCCTGAACATTGTTTCCAGCTGGGTGTCCTGGGCCTGTACGACGGACGTGTATGTACGAATTGGTGGCTGAAGTTTTGCTTGGCTGAAAGTCAAAAAATTTGACAAAATTTCTGCTCGCCAAACCGCAAGCTTTCTCGGAAAGACTGTAGCTCTCCACGCGGGATGGTACAGCCACCGGAGGCTCTCAACCCACGACCATGCTGGAATTGCAGGCTTTGGGAGCTATGACATCCCTCCATTTAGGCCCTACTCTCGGCTGTTTCTGTGAGCGGCTTCTGTGTGTCTTCAGAAAGGTGCATTTTTTCCCGTCCACCAACTGATTCCAGAATCAGCAGTCCTGCCAGAATCATGTACATGTGTACCACCGCGGATGATGCCAGAGAGGACATGGCTTGACCGCATATGATGCCAGAGGAAAACATGGCTTGACCGCGCTACGCAAGCCTCATCCATTCACTTGCCCCTAGCTTAACGGGAGGCGGCAGGGAGTGCGAACTTGGGTAGTAATTACATACATCAGTTCACAAAAAGCTTGCGGTTGGGAACTGCTGTTTTGTTGTTTTATTTTTGCGCCCCTCAGGCTGTATTCTACAGTACATACAGGTCCGCCGGCCCGCGGAACCCCTGGTACCCAGAAGCCGGCCATCCCATCCCCCTCCGGCCCACCAAAAACAAAACGAAAAAACGCCCGAAATTCCCTCGCCAAAATACTAATCAGAAAAACCAGAACAAGAAACCTTTACCAAAGGTAAGTCCCACTTTCCTCTCACAGCTATAACGGTTCTTTGACATCTTTTGGGGGTGCATCACGTAGAATGGAATGCTTTGATCCCACTGGTGGTATCCCCGACAAGAAAGAACCCCTGGCTGAATCGTGGCTCGCACCGTCGCCGGGCCATGTGCCCTAAGTGCCTTTGTTTCCGTCGCAGTTGACCCAATAACCCTCACAAATGACTCAGTATCCGATGGAGGCCACTCCCACGCGATTAATTCCTGCAAACAAGTTTGCACCAGCCCTTCCCAACGCGTCTGCCCCGGGCCAAGCAATGGCGAATTTAAAGATCCCCCGCAGGATACGACCCAACCGATTAATTACTGATAATGGGACCTGGTCATGCGTCTGGGTCCACTACCGAGGGTTTTCCATTGCCTGGCGTTTTGGATCAACAAAAGGTTCCGTCAATGCGGCCAGTGCCCCCAAAGGATTTGACCCAACCTGGCAAGAAAGGCACCCAAGAATTGACTCAGCTAGGCAAACGACAAGTCCACATTGATTATATTCTGTTAGCCTGCTCAGTAGTTAGTGAGATGGCCAAATCACTTTACCGAGGCACCACTCGCTTGAGGAATCCGATGTCAAAAAAGGAGTAGGAGCAGTACTCACCTCCAATTCCACAAGGTTCCGGTCTGGGAGACTGACTTGGCAACTTATAAAACCTGGGGTTCCTTCAACAACGCCGCAGTAAACAAGTTATCCACCCATTGCACTCGGCTTCCCTTTGGAAAGTTGATTGAATCCAAGACGTTACTCGCGAAAATTGAATGGAAACTGATCATTGCGGGCAGTCGGACTTTTGTTTGACGCTAAGAAAAATATCTTTGGATCCTGTGATCAAGGCTTCCACAAGTTTGTGGAAGAAGTAAGTGATGCCATTAATTCCAAGGTCACTGTCAAGACTTGCATGGATGATGTGATGATTAAAACCAAGCAGATTGAGCAGGTAAGTGTTTTTTTAATCTTTTGTTCCTTGTCTTATTTTGTATTTTTCGCTCTAGGAGAAAAGTATGGAGGAAAACCTCCTCTTGACTTTTGGAAATGATGAAGAAAAAATACCATTGGAGTGTCACCGTGTGTGGTTATCCATCAATTGAAGCTTGTTTATTTTGGCCTTGTGAGTATACAAGCTGATGTTTGCTATTCCTCAGCCTAAAGCAGAATATCCCCCCAGCCTGGTGACTCCCAGGTTGGCATAACTCATGAAACACATTGTGGATAAGTGGGGATGAGACAATGAGAAGCTTTGGATCAGTAACCCTGACAATCCCACTCAATCAATGCAGATTACTAACAATCAAATGGGCATATGGGTCTGTGCTTTACTCTCAGGCAAGAATGGAGATATCAACATGGATCACCCACCAAAGACCAAGGGATTCAAGTGGGTGAACTGTATCACTCCAAACTGTGAGCAACTACAGGACAAGTCTTTGGGACAAACTGGCCCAAGGACAAAATAAAATACAAATAAACAACCAGCCCCTCCTTCCAGCCTCTTGAGATTTTGGTGGCTCAAAGCATTCCCTGGCTGCATTCCTTGCCCTCAAGAATAACTGCACAGCTCTGAAAAATACTTTCAACCACGTAGAGTATCATCTGAACTTCATCATTATCTCAGAAGAAGCAGCAAGATAACTGCTCCAATAATCAAGGCCTCTTAAACAAGAACTTGAACTCAACTAAATCAAATATCAATAACAACTAAATCAATTTTGGGCTATCCATATTGAAGGTCATCAGTAAAGTACTAACTCGGCCTCAATCCTCATTGTAAAAAGATTCTCAATCATTAATCCTCTTCATTTGTCTGCAAGAATCGTGATTTATCCACCTTCAAGATTTAAATCAATTCATCCTCATCTTCCAATTGTATTTCACTGATTCATTTCTCTTGTGATTTTTGTGCGTTTTCTATTTCTCTTCTTGCTGTTCATCCTTTTTTGTTTTATCCTCAAATTGCTAAAGCTTTATTTATTTCATGTTCTTTTTTTGTAATTTCAGACTGCACCCACTTCTCATCCTCACTGCCTATTTCTAGTCTTCTTATCTAAAACACATCTCCATCCTGTGGTATGAATTTTATCTCATCAATCTTCTTCTTTTCATTCTTGTCTCTGTTATTGATTTTATTCCTATTTAGTTTGGTCCTATTTTTAGCAATCCTATCATAATTTTATTAAAGCCCCTTGGTGTGGGAGCCCATGGCCAAATTTTGACAATTTTGGGGGTTTCCGGTCTAATTCTTGGGGGTCACAGGTCCAGTTCAGGGGGTCATAGCCACAGCTCAAATTTTGGGGGTTGCTGGTCTAATTTGACCTTTTTGGACACACCACCACCCCACACAAAAATCCTATACATCAAAAAATCAAGCTCATATCTTTATTTTTTATTTATTTTTAATTATACTGCAGTACTAAATTCCCATCAAATCAACACCTGAAGACAAGGCAGCTATAATAATTGAACAACTCAAATTCAAACTCCTAGCAATGAATCCAAAACACAGGGAAATACAATTGGATGCCATCACAAGAGTGATTGAAGGATCTGGAACAGTTGTTGACATCAAATTACCCCCACAAGCCCAACAAATATGAGGAAGGCCCAAAGTTTTAAAATTGTTTTGATACGTCACAATGAATGTCACCTGCATTGATCTATTTTCATGCAACTCAACTTCCACTATTAACCAACTCATTCTCAACTCTACTTTCTCAACTAAAACACAATCCCTTTCATCAACCCATCATCTCACTCCATTCCTCAAAATTATAAATTTTCAATCATCTCTCAACCTCAAACTCTTCAAACATTCTTCTCCTTCATTCTACCCATCTTCTGTTCTTGCTTCATTCTCATCTTTCTCATTTTCTTGTCCTTGTCTGGTGAGACTGTTCAATCTCAAGAGTCTGTCTGGATTCATCATGCCAATCTCACTATTCTTCAATCTCTAGTACTTGTGTCCTTCTCAACCTTCCTTGTTTTCCATATACTCCTGTTCTCCAAATAGTTTGTCATCTTCTCTTCTTTTCTTCTATCAGTCTCTTGTTATCCTTTGAGTCTCTTTTACTAACATGCTTTTCTTCAGTCTTTCCTGGGTTTAGATTGTAATCAACTCAACAAGTGTTCAATATTTTACAAAGTTGCAGCAAACAAACCCAAATAAACAACTACCAGAAGGTATCCATCTCATTTCGAGCACTTGGAGAGAAAACACAAGACGAGGATGAGAAATATATTAGACTTTAAAGTCTTTTGATGAATGAGTGATTGTTAGTGAACAAGCTGATGAGCAGTGGCGACAACGATATGATGAGGCAAACCTTTTGATGAATGAGTGATTGTTAGTGAGAAAGCTGATGAGCAGCGGTGACAACGATATGATGAGGAAAATCTCAAGTAAAGAATGGGATGAGACGAGAGAAGGAAAATGATTAGAAAATGATAATCAGGAAACAGACCTATAGGATTTGGATAATTTGAGTGAGTTTTGGAGTGAAGCAACTTGAATGAATGATAAATTGAGAAGTGACAACGGATGATTCCTCAATACATTTTTTGAGACAAAACTGCGGACTGCAATGGCTAAAACATTTTGCCGACTACTCAGGATAATCTATGCTAATTGAAAGAGAGCAGGAATTATGGTAATATCAGGGGGATGTTTAAGTTTCAAACTAGGCACTGCTTGATACACATTTGCTAGCACATCCATGTGAGACTTCCTAACAGTATTGGAGGCAAAATACCACACACAATCTGTACACAACCAATGTACTTCATAAACCAAAACATTAGCAATGCATACTTATCTCAATGGTTAGATCATCAGTCATACATGCTGAGGTTGTGGGTTCAAGTCCCACAGTACACAACCTTGATTTTCAGTTGTTCAATAAAATATGCACAACAACATGAGAAGAAACTGAAGAAGGAGCCTGAGAAACCCAAGCAAATTCAACCAGTCAGCAAATTCCCAGAAGAACTTCAACCATTAGTCTCATCATCAAATCCCCCTCCAAAGAATTTCTGCCCTATTAAACCAGCTCAACCTCCGCAAACCCTCCCAGAAATCCCCAGAATGATCAAAAAGCTCCCCATACAGGAGTATGTTTAGAAAGTGTTGGAAATTGACTCAGAGAGGTACTGTGGATTTTGAGCAGTTTCTTACTGTCTGAATCTTGGGAAAGGTTAATATAAATTTATGGAAGTACACCAAAAATTCCTTGAAGAATTGAAAACCCGTTAAAATGGTATTTTGACAACAAAATCATGTATCAACGACTCTTAGACAAATTGAAAAGAAGAACTGAGGTAAAATCCAACAAGACATGTGGTCAAAGCTTTTGGATGTGCATGCCCTCCATTGGTGAACCTTTGGCTAA